GATGTCTCCCGCACATACCGCCGTGCATCTCTCCCTGACTTCCTGTCTGAGCCTGGCTCCGGGCTGAGCTGCGTGTTGTGGCTCCTCCGATGTAGGAAATGTGTGGCACCACCCCTCTGACAGAGGGACGGATTTGCTGGGCTGCTGATTTCTGCATACACAGTGTACGAGTGACACTTGTGAGCTGATTAGTGCGGACTTGATCCCCCCTACATCCTCCCGATCGTTCTATCCGCTCCTTCCTGTAAACATCCAGCTTCTCCTCCACCGGGGCGTGGGGGGGCCTTGGCAGCATGTTCTCCAGAAGATCGCTCATCTGGGGGGAGATCTGACCGATCGCCCGGAGGGACAACAAGCCAAAAACTGATACAAAGTTTCCTGCGGTGTGTGAGAGGGGCAGAGGATGGGAAGCACGGCCATGGACACTAAGAAGAAGAAGGAGCTTCCTAAGAAGAGCAGCGCTCAGAAGAGGAGGATGCTGAGGGTCCACATTCCTGTAAGTGCTGCTTTGTTGTCATTGCACATGTGCTGCAGCTGTACTGACATGCGGCGCCTCCTCAGGTCATCCGCTGACAGCTGGCCCTCCCACGTGACTCATCGCACTGTGTTTACAGGGCTCGCTCAGCCTGCCACCGCACCGACTTGACTGGCTGGGCACTCGCTTTGGTTGCCTTTGCTACCATGGGGACGTTCACACTTGTTTCCAGGTGTTTGTTTTATTTAAAGTGTTTTTAAACCCACGTAAGTACAAATCATATAGTGCTGCAGCCCCCAGGAAACCAATGTAAGTCTTTGCTGTGTGGTTTCCATCTTATGCGTGTGGTTGCATTGCGTGCGTTCTCTTCCCTGGTTCCTTTCATGGGTGGCTCGGTCCCCATACGGCGTCCCATGGAGCCACCTATGCGTGTGGCTAGCACATACAGATGAGTCCCATGCGTCCGTCGTGTTAGCTGGATGCTAAACCACCCCCCTCCGTCCTGCGCCCGCGCTGTACCAGTTTCTGCAACTACATGCTTGGTACTTGGGGCACGCTCCCTACTACCCGGAAGATCAGGGAAGCGGGGGTCTTTAACAGAGCCGGTGGTGTTTATATTAAATATTGTAAGTTTTCGGCCAAATACGCTGACAATTTGTTTCAGGGGAATTGTTAATGCATTCGAAGGAACATGAATATTTTAAAAACGCACTTTTATTGCTGAGAAATTGGCTTGGGATGTAAAAACAAACTTTATCCGGGGTGTTTAAGGGCCCATTCACACCAGAATGTTGAGTTAATTGCGCATTAGCGTTTGTTTAGCGCACATTGGGGGGGAATTCATAAAATAGTTCCACCGTTTCACTGCTGTAACAGTAAAGAACCCTTTTCTCAGTTTAAGATCAAACCTATCTTCGTCCAGTCTTAAATTGTGTCCACGTGTCTTGTTCAGGGACCTTGGAGTATTAAGGTCATTACAAGGCAGAGTGTGTCCAGGGCCCATCATCTGTCCGTAGTCATAGGTAACCACTGGGATGTGCGGTCACATGCAAATAGTGGTGTTCCTGTCACCCTGTCAGACCCCATTCACACTGAACTACATCCAAAAAAGCGCTTTTTTCAGAGTGATTTTGAGCTGAGCGACAGTGAGCTACAATGCACATTTTGTCGCGCTACTTAATGTGACTTTTCGCAGGGACTTCGTAGCTGCTACAAAAGTGACACTTCTGTGCAAAAGTGACACTTCTGTATCGCGACGTAGTGCGACAATGTCGCGCAATGTCGCTCAATGTCGTGCGCTACACCATTAAAGTCTATTGGGCAAAATCGCCCGAAAAATAGGTCATGTTCGAGCTACAAGCGACGAGCTACAGGTGACATTGAGCTGTGAGATGTGAACATCTCCATTGAAATGCATTGGACAAGCTACATTGAGCGACATTGAGCTGATATTTGAGCGATTTTGAAGCTGAAATCGCCTGATATATCGCTCAGTGTGAACGTGGTCTCATTGCTTTGTACAGGCTGAGTGGCCGTAGCTGCCGAAACCACCTGTCATTCCAGACATTCCTGCTGCAGGAGTCTAGTACTGGACATAAAAAGCTGGTGTGAATGAATATATAGTAACTAGTATGCAGGATCTTACTGGAAGAAAGCTGGCAGCCAGATCCTGCACAAAAAGTGCTCTGTACGCTGATCGCTTGTAAAGTTTGTGAATTGTTTACATGTGTACAGTGTATAGCACAAAGGTGCCCCACTAGTTGCTAGGACCTGCATCTGAGCAACAAAGGATGCTAACCAGGATAGAACTGCCTGCATGCTAGCAACCATGGACACTGGCTGGAATGCAAGCAACGCCCCTGGCTGGAACAGAACTGCCTGCATCCTAGCAACCATGGACACTGGCTGGAACAGAACTGCCTGCATCCTAGCAACCATGGACACTGGCTGGAACAGAACTGCCTGCATCCTAGCAACCATGGACACTGGCTGGGACAGAACTGCCTGCATCCCATAAACCATGGACACTGGCTGGAACAGAACTGCCTGCATCCTAGCAACCATGGACACTGGCTGGAACAGAACTGCCTGCATCCCAGCCACCAAGGACACTGGATGGAACAGAGCTGCCTGCATGCTAGCAACCATGGATACTAGGTGGCACAGAGCTGCCTGCATCCCAGCAACCAAGAACACTGGCTGGAACAGAGCTGCTTGCATCTTAGCAAACATGGATACTAGGTGGCACCGAGCTGCCTTCATCCTAGCAACAAAGTACACTAGGTGACTTGAGCCGCCTGCATCATGCATTTTTTAGCACTTCCTGACACCTACCGGTCTATTCACTAAGCAGCCAAGTGAACAACCGACCCCAAGTGAAGTGAGCCGAACACTGTTCGGCTATTCACTTGAGGCTTGTACGTCTGATTTCAGCCGTATATCGGCTGAAATCAGACGTACATCGCTTGCTTCACATGGCTTCGGGTCGGCCGAACATGCTCAGCATGTTCGGCCGACCCGAAGGGCAGAAGGAGTTCGACTCAGCCGATCCAACCGATCCAACAGTAAACTAGCATTGTACCTGATGGAGAACTGCAGCAGAGGGCGGGTACAATGCTAGTTTCCTATTGGCTATTGCAAATTGAAATAGCCAATAGGAATCTAGCAATGCATTCCAATGGGCAAAAAAGTTTTAGTTTTTTTTTCTATTCTGACACGGCTCCGTGTCAGAATAAAGAAAAAAAAGAAGCAGCAGTGTTTCTCTCCTGGGAGGCCGGGAGCAGGAGACTCCCGGAGCGCCTGGGAGAGTTTGCTGTTTGGAGATCAGTGTCCCTGGTTAGCCGGTAACCTGGGACGCTGATCTCTCTGCTCGGCCTGCTACGGCTTTCAGCACGGCCGAGCTCGGCCACGTTCGGGAGCTGTACGGGCTATAGTGAATAGCCCGTACAGCACCCCTTCGGCCGAAGCTACAGCTAGATCCTTCGGCAGCTTAGTGAATAGACCCCCTAGTGTCCTATGTTGCTAGGTTACAGGTGGCTCCAATAAAGCGCATATGTGCTGTAAGCATGTAAACATTTGCACAAACTTTCACATGCATACAGTGTAAAATATGATCATACGCAGAACCTCAGATGCAGATTTTTCTATTTTGATTTGATAGATCTGAACTCATATTCATTAGCCCATGTTCACTGATCTTTACACACTGTGCATGGACCCATGGAAAACAGTGGACCAGCATTCAGATCTGTAAGATAAAATGCTGTACTGATAACACGCAGCAATTTTTACAACGGTGTGTATTAGCCCTTCTAGCATTTAAAATCATTACATGCATTCGCATGCAATTAGAATTGTTCTGTGAATACATAAAAATGCATGTACGTCAGTGCCAGTGTGAGCGAGCCCTATGGGTCTAACTCATGAAACTCTTCTAGTGTAATTGAGTTGATACTACAAAGATGTTTGTAGGAATTTGTTCTGCAGAAACAAATAACAGCTGGAACAATGCATTGTTTATATTGACTTCCGCAAATCACTGCCTCATAGTATCAAGTATCTTGTTTTTGGGCATCTTTGCAGACGCAGTCATCTTCAAGTACAGGCGAACCCCAACTAAATGTCATTTGGTTTGCAAAAGCACTGTGCATCATAAACAATTCCCGTTTTTTAAAGGGTTTCTAAAGCCTCTGTTTTTGTTTGCATATATCTACTGCTAGCAAGCAGTAGATATATGCAAAACGTTTTTTTTGAAACTTTTAAACGTACCCCTGTCTGACGCGCGCTCCCATCAGAAAAGCCGAAACTGCTCGGGCGGCCGCAAAGCATCTTGGGGCGGGCTCATGCACAGTTCGGATTTTTGGTCGGGAGACGAGGAGAGACGCAAGGTAAGTCTATGGACGCGTGCACCCGAATGCAGACACCGTGGGACAGGAAGTACCAGCAAGGACAGAGGAGTCAGCGCTGGATCAGAGACCCGCCGCACTGCTGGAGGGACAGATGAAAACATCAGGAAAGAAGAAGAAGATCGGATTAAGAGACATCAGTTAAGGTAAGTGCTGACATTAACATTGTGGGGAGGAGAATTTTTTTTGACTTTAATGTCACTTTAAGTAAATCTTTGTTTTCACCTTTTCTTCATCCTTTGTGGCCTCTTAGTGTTGCTGATCTCATGCAGCCTCTTGCTATTTATGTACTCTCCAACAATGGCTGAATGGTATTTCAATGGGTCTTTTAATAGCCATGTCAGTGGACCATGATTGCGTAATGTGTGATGAAACAGACACTTGCAGTCTCCTTCTGAAGCCTGGGTGATGGGGTGACAATGCAGGAGCATACTTAGGAGACAGGCACAGAGCGTTGTCACCCTATAATAGGAAGTGCATAAACAAGCAAATTCATGGCAGGATCATCACATATTCTTTTATTCAAGCTGTAGATTCAAAAATATTGAAATTACATTAACATGCTAAAGCTGATAAGATTTTGGAGTTTAAAGTTACATCTCTTCTAAATACAGAGGAAACAAAACAAAGGCTGCCATTTCCGATCTCCTTCTGAGAATGCTAGTTTCCTGGCTGTTTTTAACTTCAATACTGTGTCAGGGACCTGGAACGAGCATACAGATCAGGAAAGTCAGAATGAAGTTGGTACTTCTGATCTGTATACTTGCTCAGGGCCAGATACATTGCTTTAGCATGCCAGGCAGGAAACTAGCATTTTCATGAGGAGAGATCAGCTATGGCAGTTTCTGCAGTTCCTCAGTACAGGTTTCCTTTCCTTTCATGCCCTTCTCTGCCCAGACTTGCTACTTTAACATTAAACTCTGGGAAAAATCACAAAATTCCCCTTGTGGTGGGGCTGCCCCTGCACTGGGTAACATAAAAGTCAGGACATTAACTTACCTGATCCCCGCTCCCACAGGCTCTCTTCAGGCTATAAGACCGGCACCCGCAGCTCTGGTGGTCAGAGGCTCGCTGATGTCATCAAGTACAATCCAGGACCTCTAGCCCTGCATTATA